CTGCTGAACAGATGAAGCTGAACATCCTCCGCACCATGGGACAACAGCAGAAGGGGCTCTTTGAAACATCAAGGTGATAACTGCTGCCCCAGAGAGCCATGTGAGCCAGGTGTCCTCCCACAAAGCCATTGAGATAAGACCCAACTCTAATACCCGCACATTCTTCCAAGGAAAGCCTTCTAGTGCCTTGGAGAGAAGCTTTTTCTCCCTTCTTGGCCACCACAGTCAAAACCACAAACCAATGATTGTCCCCTTCCCAGTAGCAGCACAAGATGATGGCATCCAAGCCATCTGTCCTTTCTCCCTGATGCTCAGGCACCTGAACACACCATCCCACTACAAGGAAAGGTATCCAGCGAGTTCTCATCCCCAGCCTGTGGACAGCACTGATCCTGCCAGTAGCCCTGCTCCCAGGGTAGGGTGCACCCCTCCCTGCTTCCTGTACCTCCCCCTGGCTCTTCTGTTGCCCTTGCTGAGCTGTCCTCAGCACGTTTTGGGTGCATGCAGCCAGGTCGAGGCCCCAGCACCCCCAAGGTGATGTTTGAAGCATTGCTTAGAGCCAGTGTTCCAAGTTCAGTTTGCTCCTGCCCATGCAGGAGTGGGGCTGAGCACAAGGCACAGGATATTCCACCTGGAGTATCCATGGGGGTGGCAGGTCGGGGTGGGGAAGGCTGGAGCACTTTGTCCTGCAGCATTGGCATGTGTCCTGCCCATCCTGCTCCTGCGCGGCGCGAGGGCCCCCCCCCCCCCCGCCTGCAGCTGCAGGGAGGAGAGGGTCTTGCCCCCCCGTGTTCACCCACAAGCACATCCACACCAGCAGGCAGCATTGGGCAAGAGCTGGCAAATCCCCCATGCTAAGGAAGCCAGCTCTCTCCCCATCCTCCCCACAGCATCTACCCCCCAAACCACCCATGCCTTTTCGACAGTGCCTTTCATCCCCAAGAGCTCCCTGTTGGGTGGCAAGGAGGGGAACGTCTGGGGGCTCTCCTCCTTTGCACCCAGCATCGGGTTGGAGGAGCAGATGGGGAGTGCACCATCCCCAAACCTTCCACGGGGCAGGGAGCACGTCCCAGCTGCTTTCATACCTGTGGCACCCAGTTCGCTCTGGCACTGGCCTGTTGCTGCTGCTGCAGCCACCCCACTCTGACAGCCCGGCCATCTCAGCGTGGTCCCACTGCAGCCCCTTGCCACCAAGGCCTCCTGCACCCCCTCCACACCAGCAACGTCCCCTCCAGCAGCAAGTGCTATTGCTGGCACCCTTCTGCTTCCCAGGCTTCCTGGTGGGAAGGGCTGTGCTGCGCAGCCGTGAGCCTGTTCCCTTTGGAAACCACTTGGATGTGATCTCCTTCAATAAGCTAGATGAAGTGCATCTCATAAAACATTCATGTCACTATAATACTGAGGCCTAAGTGAATGGAATAGAAACCCTATAAAAAGCAAAACAATCACAATAAAATGGTAACAAAGAGTATATTGTGTTTACTAATGGAATTACATGAAAGGCGAGCTTAAATTCAGGATCCAGTGACTTGAGCTGGCCCGGCAAAGAGGTGGTCTTCTCTGCTAGCCTAGAGCAAAATCCCCTCTACCCTGAGGCCTGTGGTCCTGCCACACATGCTCCTGTATCTGTTGATGCCTGCTCTGTGGAGCTCCCTGTACACTGTCAGGTGTCACTGTTGGCTTCTCAGCAGCCCAAGCCCCTGCTGGCGCTGCCTTTGCTGCCCAGCTGGGTGCACAGAGCCCAGTGCAGCAGGATGGTGCTCGTGGTGCTGAGGCTGGACCTCTCTGCAGTGCCCAGCACGGCACCAAGCAGCATCCGAGCTTCCTCTCTCCCTGTGGGTGACCAGACCTGTCTCACTGAACTGACGGCGTGGATCTCCTGCCTGTCTCTTCCCCAGGTCCTTCCCTCCCTGCAGCGCTGAGACTTGTCCCTCCCCAGGACACAGCCCACTGACCTGGCTTGCCAGTGACATGCTGGCTCATCCTTGCTCTTCCTGACTCCAGAAACTTTGCTCTCTGCCTGATAAAAGGCTGCCTCCCTGGATCTGTGTTAGCATGCCTTGAAAGCCAAGTCTATTCCCACCAAAGCCTGGCACTGGCTCTGACTCTCTCTGCCAGCTGGAAGCAGAAATACCGGCATCCTTTGGTTAAAGACAACAAACCAAACAGGATTTGCAGTTTGACTTCCAAGCGGGGAAGCATTTCGGGAAGATCGTTATAAATAAGGGGTTTAACATCTCCTGCCAGCAGACATCACAGAGGAGATAATGTTCTTTTTTTTAAATCTATCAGCAGCTCAAATTGGGACATTTCCTTCCTAGCTAACATGAAGCTGCTGATAGGGGCTTCTTCTAAGGGCATGCCAGTCCAGAGCTAATCTAGCATCAGTTACTGGGGTTTAATGCTTGCTGTGATAGGATCCAAGGGCTCCAGTTTTATAATTGGTCCTGTGTAGGAATAGGTCTGTACGTGGCCATTGATATTCTAATCCACAGTTGTCCTTGGAGTGGGAACTTCATTTCACTATGAACCTCAATACTCCAATACTTCTTTTCTTTTGGCAAGGCCCAAACCTTCCCTAGCTTGATGAGAGTCTCCTAGGCGGGAATTAGAAGTCTCTGAGGATGATAAAAATGATCAGTTCAGTCTGGGCTCCTGTTTTGTAGTTTGGGACACACACAGTGCAGTCCAAGCCTGCATTCCTCCTGAAAATGTCAGCAGGACGTGGTGGCAATGGCAGCTTGGCTCTTGCCTCCTCTGAAACCTCACATGGGCAAAAGCAGTGTGGCTCTCAGGAGCTCCACACCCCGGGAGGCAGGGGATGGTTCAGCTGAGGTCCTCCAAGGGGGCAGGCAGGCAGCGCATGGGGGATGCAAGGGCTGTTAGTGCTCTGACATTCTGCAGGGTGACATGAGAGGGATGGGGGACAAGTGATACTTCCATGCCACCCATTATTCTAAAGGGCTGATGGAGTTACCCCCATAGAACATCTTAAAAGCTTATTGAGTGACACCAGGCAGAACTGTGACACCCAAGAGAGAGCTTCCTGGCTCTCCACGCTCCAAGCTCAGCGTGAACAAACCTGGCCTCAGCACAGCCTGCCAGCTCAGTGGCACTGGCAGGATCCCGGTTCGTCTGGTG